TCCATGTAGTGCTGCTGCTTTGAAACTCCATGGGGAGCCTGACACTGGGCTTCCTGCAGCATTTCAAAGTGGCAGCGCTGCATGAAGCCTGGGGTCAGCTGGGGCTCTAAGTCCCCACCTGACCCCAGATGCGCTGCGGGAACCATGGGGCCAGTGGAGGACTGCTTGAGTCCCCTGCTGGCCCTGTGCTTCCCGCAGCGCTTTCGCCATTGAAGTGTAGCAACAGCCCTGGGTTCCATGGGGCTGTTGCAACGCTTCAAAGGTGCAGGTGCCCTTATCAACTAATCCAATAGTTGATGCGAACTGCATCGACAGTTCCATTAGCTGATTAGTCTAAATTTAACATCACTAGATGACACCTCATCTGACTCTGAGGTGTGTGTATGTGGTTCCTCCATCTTCCAACTTCCTCCCTGGACATTTATACTGAAGGAGCTTGTATCCGGAAGTATGCCCTGATACCAAGGCAAGGACAATCTTGTACCATTCCCTAAAGCCCTACCACAATGAACTTGCTGCAATAATGTTCAACCTGTGGTCCAAAGGTTCTGGTGGTCTGTGGACTATGTGTAAGAGGGTCACACTAACCTACAATAATGGCTTTCAGTCTGTGGACCCCTGATAGTCTGCAGACTATGTGTAAAATTTCAAAGGAGCCTGCACCTCCATTCAAAATTCTTTAGGAGTTTGCAAATCAAAAAGGTTCAAACTACTGGTTTGCTGGAATTGCTTTTCACTGGGAGCCATCTCAAAAGAGATCATTCACGTAAGGAATGTATCTTGCCCCATGAATACATCCTATAGAGCAGAAACCAGTGAAAGAGAAAGAAACTCCTCCACTTTACCACAAATCCTTCTCATCACCAGACAAGGCATCCCCTGCTATTCTATCCCGATGACATCAAGGCCTTAAGGTTACCAGTGGATAACAGGCCCCATACAAGTCCTATTAGAGGAAATTCATGGAACCCAATACACCTTGTTGAATATCCTTCATTCAGTTCTTCTGGGATAAACTGCTTTGCCCATCAATGATTTTTTGCTTACTCCAGCACACGCAATGGCAAACAGCAGCCACTGTCCCACATGTGTGTAAATGACCAACAAAAAGTATTACTCCCCCCACACCCTTCCAGAGGCTCAGTATTTCTTTTCTCCTACCCTACTCCCAATTCTCTGATAGTGGAAACTGTTAACGAACATCACTCCTGTTCAACACTATCTGATAAAGAGCTAAATTGTTAAGACCTTCTGGTTTGTAAAATCATGTCTCCCATTTCTGGCCTTACTGGGAACTCATCTCAGACAGATGGATCTCAGAAGTAATTTTCACTGGCTAGTTCATCCAGTTCAGTTCCTAACCATCTACTAGCATTCTTCCCCACCCTTCTTTAGGGACCGGTCTCATGAAGACCCATAAAAACACTTAAAATGAAGAAATGACAATAAATTTGCCAAGATCCTGGTTGTGAGGAGAAAAGGAAAAGGCAGAATCAAATATAACACCATAACTGCATACTCAAGTGAAAGGGAGGAGGATAATGTTGCCAATTTGCTGATGAAGAAAGGGAGCAGGAAGGAGGACTGGGGAAAGGGGAGATGAAAAGTCATTTTTGACACTTTTAGTTTAAGGAAGTGAATGTACACCCATGAGGTGATGCAGCAGGAAGAGATATGACCCGGAGAGAGGGGGAGAAATCATGAAGGGAGAAGGAGATTTGAGTATTAACACAGAGGTAATGAGATACACCACAGGAGTGGATGAGGTCAGTGGCAGGAAGAGGAGACCAAGGACAGATCTTTGGAAAACACCAAAAAATAAAGAGCACTGAGATATATAGATGCTTAGGCTGAAAGAGCAACTAGGAAGGTAACAGTAAAATCAGCAATAATGGAAACTCATGGAGAGAGAGGATCTCAATATGAAATGTAAAAAGTTAGCAGAGATTGAAGTAACTCAGCAAGGAGAAGAAATCCTCACACTTGTAATGGAAGAAGAGTTCCTTAGTATCTTTTGTAGAGACAATTTCAATAGAATGAGAAGCCAGATAGGCAAGAATTTAATAGAGAGCAGGATTAAAGGACATCAGTATAATGGAAACAGATAGCTGGCTCAAGAACTTTGGAAATTAAGGGAAGGTGGGAGAAAAACCTATAGTTACAGAGAAGTGGCCTGTCTATGTAAATAAGAAGGAGGTAACTGAAAAAATGAAAAAATAAGATTAAATTCTGGCTTGCTTTTATTAGGATCAGATGTCAAGTCACTACAACATAGTTGTCTGCATACACATTTAATGAGCCTACTGTACAGATTTCAAAACTGTGTCAGAGTCACTCAGACTGTGATTGTAAGACTGACCTTCTAAAGTCTGCCATCATTTTAAAAATACTGCAGATGAAAGCTATATAGAAGATGGTACACGATCCATATTTTGGAGATAAAACAGGTACTATATTTATTGCATTTCTTTACATATTGTGTGCCACCTACTTACTATAAAATATGTAGTCAGCAAAAATATTACATGCTTAAAGAAAGGCTCAAGAATTTAGTCTAAAATTTGACCTACCCTAGAATACTAAAAATTTGAGGACAAATCCTTCAGATGAATATATTTTTATAAACTTATACACATGTGAATATTTGATATAATTCATACACAATCATAATTTACAACCTCATTGATGAGAAATTAACCTCTAGAATAATCTGCAAATATTCTGTGCTGGTTGGCAGCAGCTTTTAACTGATAAACACAAATCCCAGAGCTACAGTTCAATATAAAAAGCTGAAGACCCCGTTAAGCCTGAGAGCTCTGTTAATATCACTTCTATTCAAAAGATGGGGAAATACATCTTATTTGCTGAACAGACAACAATGATAAAATTATTTTACTCTGAGACAAGTCAATATTTTAAGATTTAGTTTTAAAAATAGCATCAACTAATATTTTTGTACTGAATGTTGACTATGTATTCAGCAGAATAGAAGCATACAAGTCTTATTTTAAGAGGAAGTGTATAGAAATAAACAAGGCACTCATACTACTGTAATTAAAGTGGTATAAAGCTAGATGATTGACAGGTAAATTAAACAGCAGATGGAATAAGCACAGGAATGGGAGTTTGGAGACGTTTTCTGCGGCTGACTCAATGTATGCCCTTCAGTAAGCTACAACTTCTCTGTCCCTCAAGTTTCCCCATTTATAAAAATACTTAGCTCCCTCCCTATGGTATAATGCCTATTTAAGTACAAACACAGCATCAGGACACGGGCAATGTACAACAACAATCTACAGTAGAGGGGATCTTTATTAAATGATGACTCCTGAAAGCTTAGATTGTGTTTCATTTAAAGAGGTTTATTTTTACCTAATACACTTATGATTTATGAACTACAAATGTTTTTTGCACAGCTGTACATGAGACTTCTTGAGGGTACCTGCCACTTGCTGCTCCGTATGGTATAATTATATAAACTTAAGTGGATTACATTCTTACCTCAACATCCTTTTTGAGCTTTTCAAGGAACACCTTTTTGTTGTTTTCATCAATATAAATCTTTTGGCCATCGTTAATAAAATCATTGTCTTTGAATGTTGGCAGCTCTTTGGCCTAAAACAAATGCAAAAAACAAAACCTAATTAATAAGAACAAGAACACAAATATGAGTGCACTGAAACTGCTTTTAATCTGGATCCACAGGAAAAGGTAGCTCAGTTCACAGCAGGACTGAATATACTTCAAACCCCAAATGCAAGATGTCACCCATGACCAAAAGAGGGCACTAGTGAGCTACGACAACAGAATGCACTGGCACATCAAATGCAGATATACAGAGTGTCATTCAGTATAATCCAATACATCTGCATCGTATGCACTTGTTCATGAATTTAACATAATTCTAATTTGCTTTCACAGTTCACCAATGTTGTAAAAAGCCTGCTAATTACAGAACTCACTCTCAGTAAATTTAATTGTGAAGAAACAAATTATTCCACGGTGGAACAGCTTCATCAGGACAAGAAACCCTATATTAGAATTCCCACAGCCCAGTGGTTAGCACACTCTCCCGAGAGGTGTTGGAGACTCCTGTTCAAAACCCTTCTCCCTATTAGGCAAATCTGAACCCCAATTTCCCATATTGCAGGTGAATTTACACAACTAGCCTAAATACCATAAGGTGCGTAGTGACAACAGCAGTACCATCACGTTCTCTGGCTACCTTTTGAATGGGATCCAATCTAGAAGGCAGCCCCTAAAGCATGCCTAGTTGATTAGACAACGTGGGCACTCTTCTGCTTACATTCACCTTAAGCAGGAAGCAGGTGTTTGGGCAGTAGAGTAAGGCAGCAAGGTGCATGCCCAAAGGCAGAAACCTAAAAACTGTTACTGAGAATATTTAGGCACTGAGTGAGTTTAGGTATCTATACAGTTAGGTGGCAGCCTAGCATTAATTTGATGGGTTGGCTGGTACCTAAAACAGTGACTTGGGCACCTCAGTCTGGGGTTTAGATTCCTAAGTACCTTACTAAATCATACCCTTTGTGACTAATTTGAACATAGTGACAACTTCAACCCCAGTCTGCAAGTCTTCCTCCTGAGTGTGAATCAGGGGAGGAGCACTGCTCCAGTAACTATAAAGCAAATACACAGAAAAATCCCCACAACTAACAGCAGCCTACTGGAATGTTTTCTGTAGCTTCAAGAAAAACATGCCAGCACATTTCTTATAACCTTATTGAGTACAGTACTTTACAATCTACCATTTTATTTGTTCTTTATAAATCCAAGGAAAAAGTGACCTAGAGGTACTCTTTCTCTAGCTCCCCTTCCCCCAAAGTACATGCAGAACAAAGGATTCAAAGTGAGTCTTATAGTAGACAAGCTACAAAACATAGCAACTCAAATATTTTTTTATCTTTAATACTGAAAAGCTCTTCTGTTGCCAAACGAAAGATGGGATGGGATGCTCTGAGTCGACAATAGAAACAAACCCCTTTGCTTGAGTTTGTTTTTATGGATTATGTATTATTTACATCAGGATGAATAATGTAGCTGCCCTGGTTCAGAAAATGGCTACCCATCTTCACATATCAACAGAATATAACCACCCCTCCCAAGATATTTTACAGAAATTTGCTCAAACTAAACCCTTAGATCCCAACAACTGTGAACTTTGGGAAAGTTGAGCTTTGAACATGACAATTTTTGGATATAGTACTTTCTGCCTTGTTAAAATGGCCTATAAATTTGAGTGCAAGTCCCTCCTGCTTTGCTAAAAACATTTTTGAGAAGGAATTATAGGTTCCTGTCCATCCATGCCATATTCCATAGAGAAATATTCAGTCTGAAGCACTATTGTGTTTAACCCAAAGGCATCAGGGCAGTATCTGGAATGTTTCTTAGAAGCAAATAGCGGGTTGTTTACTATAATGTGACAGCATATATCAATTATCTCCCTCGCTAGCTTGGCTAAGTAGTTTGGGATGGAAAAGAAAAGGAAAAAGCAGATAAAATATTCAGGGCTAGCAGCTGTAAAGCTTATTGCTTTCCATCTAGGAAATTATCACATAACTCTGTAGGCTGACTTGGCAGATGGGGATAGAGGGATGCTGCCAAAAATCAGAAGGCTTCAATGAGTAGGATGTTTAAGACTGGAGGGAGACTGATATGGAATTAGATTGGGACTTGTGACAAAGAATGAAAAAATAAAAGCAACCAAACTTCCTTTCCTTTCCAGGACAGAAGTTAATTTAATCCTGATTTTAGACTATTACTGCATTTAAAAAGTCATAGCTAATTTACAACTACCCTTTTAATAAACAAGTATTAACAACACATTAAACAAATGACAGGGAAAGCAGAGGAAGGATGGCCTCATACTTCTGGCAAACTCAGTTCTGTGCTGAGCCTCAGACTTCCTGAATGACACTGGGGGAGTCCTTTACGCCTTGTCTTAATGGGTTAAAAAAGGGGGCATCTTTCACTCAAGTTAGCTTCTCATAATAGACACACCCTCATAACGCTTATTAAAATACAGGCTAAAACATTTGAAGGCCTATTAGTGACTCGTGTAGAAGCCTAGGCGACCCTCCCTCCCTCTACTGCAACACTACCAATTCAATCATGGTTAAAGACATACTGGGTAACACAAATGAAACAAACCATTTTAGCTTTCAGTACAAGGCCTTGGGGGGAGATTTTTAAAAGGTACATCATGCAGTGAAGAGACCAACTCCTGGAGACTTTCAGTGGGAATTGGGTGTCTAACTTCACCTTATAACATTAAAAGTATCTCCTTAAACATCTGTGTCTCAGTCCCCATCTTTAAATCTGGGACAGCAATCATTTCCTACCTGATAAGGCTGCTGTGAAAATCATTAATGCCTGTCAGGCACTGAGGTACTATGTTGATGAAAGTTATAAAATGACTAAATTCATAGATTAAACACCAAACAACACCATAAACAAGGCTTTTAAAAATAAGAAAAAACTAACACTCTGCACCCCAAGCCCTAACAATGGTTAGGAAGAGATCAGCTGAGCAGACAGGTACTTGGTAGTTCTAGTTTTCTCTCCCCCCACTTCCACACAGAACAGTTTGAGTCTAACGAAACAAACGTAACACATGCCTGTATCCCACATCTCCTGTTTCTGCTACGTTTAAACTACAAACATTTTAAATTGTGCCATAGCTTCCTATAAGTCTGTACTGTACTTGGCAAGATGGGGTGCTTTTATTATACAAAATTAGTACAGGCTGAACCTCTAAAATCTGGGACACTCTGGTCCGGCAACATCCATGGTCTGGCAGGATCACGAATATTGTTGGATCAGAGAGCCCCAGCTGGCCAGGTTCAGAAGGAACGAGGGGAAGTCAAGGCTCACTGCAGACTGTTGGCTCTGCTTCTGGGTGGGTTGCACTCACTGTCACCTACCACTGCCTCCAGCCCCGCACCACGCCAGGCCTGGCCAGGGCTGCATCTCCCACCGCGCCAGCACCGGCCAGGGCTGCACTTCTGGCCACCCACCCCCACTACCTCCAGCCCTGGCAGCCCCTGGCCAGGGCTAGTAGCAAGGAGCACAGCCCCAGCCAGGGCTGGAGGTAGTGGGGGCCGGTGGCCAGAAATGCAGCCCTGGCCGGTGCTGGCGCAGTAGGAAGCACAACCTTAGTCCCAGCTGGCGTGTTGCAGGGGCCCAGTCCTGGCTGGGGCTAGCAGCGGAGTGCTCAGGTGGGTCGAAAGCCCAGATCGGCACAGCCACTGCCGGGGCTGGAGGCAGCAAGGCTGGCCCTTATTCGGGGCTGGCACAGTGGGAGATGCAGCCCTGGCCAGGCCTGGCATGGTGGGGGACTGGAGGCAGTGGTAGGTGGCAGGGAGTGCAACCCACCCGGAAACAGAGCCAACAGTCTGCAGTGAGCCTTGACTTCCCCTCGTCCAGCAAACTCCACTGTTAAAGACCATTTAGGTCCTGAGGGTGCTGGAGAAGGGAGGTCTGACGTGTATTAACAATCATTACCTCTCACCAACAAAGTTACTGAATTCAAATCTATGAAAGTGATGGTACATTACTGATTTAGGAATTTAACCTATACTGCATGACATAATAGGCAAAGATTTGGGGATATGTATGTTCTACCTATGCACAAGGGTACCACTTAAACATGGAACTGTCTTCCAAATACATGGGGAAAAAACACCCCTTTCCACATGACTATTTAAAATCGATTACATTTGAAAAATTATGGAGACTTTGTTTTACTGAAATAACTGATAATTAATTTTTGATGAAGTCTCAAATATTTCCAATGAAGAAAAATCC